AAAAGGTTAGAGGACAGAATGGTGAAGAGTAGTAGCATGACATATTCTGTCTGCTCACTTGGGGAAGTGTACTTCGTCACTTGCCCGAGTGACAGTCTGCACTCTTCTTGCGGCTACTACTCTGTTTTCTATCCTAACTAACACTAAATAACTACTCTTTTTAGAACTGATTCTAACTACCCAATCTATTATTTTTCTAACTGCTATTCGCTGACTATTTATAGAGATTTGGAGAGGCTTGTATTGCTTGCTTTTCTGGCCTTCTTCTTTGCAGCAGACAGAAGTGGCAACTTTCAGCAGCTGAAGGTTTGTTTATTTAGCAACATGTCCTAATTGCCAAGTTATTGTCATCTCTTTGGCTGCTCCTTCTCCTTCAGCCGTAATCAGCCATCTTCCTCTCATCATTGCTTTTTCTTCTAGTCTTCTTCTTCGGTGCCTCTTTACCAATTTTAGCCACAAATCTCCATTTCTTCTTTCTTTAATCCTCAGCAATAGCAGTATAAGAGGTAGCATCAACATCAGCAGCTTGTTTCTCTTTCATCATTATGTTTCTACCTTTTCAGCCCCCAATTTGGCATTCAATCTAGGAGTCTATTACTAAATTCGCTTCCCTTAAAATGAGCATCATTTCATAAGCATGACTTTGCAAAAGCGAAAAAATCTCTTATAATTGATATAAATGTCTCCAAGGAAAAACTTCGAGAAAAATTGCACAATTTCTTTATTATCTGTCTGAATCATTACTCCGTCCAGCCCCTAATATATGCACTTTCAAATCCCAAAAAGAATGCCTGCAATTTTTACCGAGAGGCTACTACCTTCAACAAGAGATCCAGATTCACCATAAACAAAGCCTCCATTGCAATCTCAGATAATAAACCGATAACCAGAGGCATTCGATGCTCCTATAGTAGGGCCATCAGTATTAAGGATATAGGTTTTGTTCAACAAAGATCTCCAAGAGACTAGTTTAGGACTTCTTCATTTTATTCCAGCTAATTTAATCCCCATCACTTGCTCAATTCTCTGTATTTCCATGGTGGAATTAGCCTTGAAGTCATGGAGTTTTAGCATATCTCGAATGTACCTTAGTATTGATTTAATGATTAAATTCGAGCTACATTCAGTACCTTAAAAAAGAACCTTGCTTCTCGCCTTCCAAAGTTCCCATAAAATAAAAGATGGTGCTACCATGATGATGACCTTCCTTGCTGTAGTAAAGTTTCCTAAAGACCACCAATAATTCAAAAAATTTCATAAAGAAGAGTTTGGCAACAATATCCAGCAGCCCCTTAGATGGTTGGAGGGAACTTTAATGTCATTCGTATTCTTGAGGAATACTCAGGGGTTTCGGTCCAAGACCATGCTACGATGGAGGAATTTGATGAGTGCATCCAATCTTGTGGTTTACTGGAAATTCCGGTTGTACGGGAGGAATATACATGGGGAGGCAGTAGGCAAACGGGTTAGGTGAGTAAGAAATTGGGAATGGTTTTATTTTTTGAGGAATGACATGATCTCTTTCTAGTATCATCTATTGAGAATTTAAATAGAACGACTTTAGATCATAGACCTATGTTGCACTTGTTTGCGGCGCAAGGTGAAAGCAAATCAAAGTTATTCTGCTTTCAGAAGATGTGGCTTCGAAGAACAGATTTCCTAGAGGTTGTGAAGGAAAATTGGGAGCAACCAATTGTTGTTAGAATGGTTGCGTTTTCTATTAAGCTGCGGCGTCTTAAGTTGAGGCTTAAAGAGTGGAATAAAAATTGTTGTGGGGATGTTTTTGCTAACCTTAAGGAAGCTCAGGCAAAGGTACAAGAATTGGAAAGGAAATATGATCAGACGGGTTCCAAAGTGGATAGGTTGAGTCTACATCTAGGGAAAGCTCTCTTGTTGCAAAGGCTAAAAGAGCATGATGAGTTTTTGAGGCAGAAAGTTAAGGCGAAGTGGTTAAAGGAGGGAGATGCCAATACTTCATTTTTTCATGCCTCCTTAAAAGAAAGGCGAATGCAACAAAGTATCCATAAAATTCAGTCTAGAGGGGGAGCAATGTTAAATGAGGTGATTGAAATTGAGGATGAAGCAACCGGTTTTTTCCAAGAGCTTTTAAATGAGAGCGGGGATCTGGCTTGGATGCGCAGGAACTATTTTTGCAGCATATTCCAAATATTTTGGAAAATGATGATCATGAAATGCTCCTCAAACCTATCTCCCTTGATGAGGTTAAGGAAACTGTTTTTAATTTGAATGAGGAAAGTGTTCCGGGCGTGGATAGCTTTGGTGGGGTGTTCTATAGGAGCTGTTGGAGTGTTATTGCAAGTGATCTTTGGCTAGCTTGTCAAGAATTCATACTAGGAGTGCCAATCCCGAGGTCAATTGCTAGTACCTTGATCACCCTTCTCCCTAAAAAGGCAACTGTAAGTACCTCTTTGGATTTTCGTCCCATAAGTCTTTGCAATTTTTTGAATAAAGTTTTTACCAAAATATTGACGGAGAGGTTAAAGTTTAGGGTTTAGGGTTTAGGGCTTAGGGTTTAGGGTTATTGTATTGCCTAAGATTATTTCTGAGCAACAATCAGCTTTCTTGGTTGGTCGCGATATCATGGATAACATTCTTTTGGCACAAGACTTGTGTCAACTCATAAACCGAAAAACGGAAGGGAGTAATATTGTAATCAATGTTGATATGACATTACCAAAAAACATGGTAGTACCCACGAAAAATTAGCGGTCGTGGGTAACTCGTGAGAATTTACTCACGAAATACCACGCATTGCCCACTAAAGTTTGATCAAAAGTGTTTCCTACAGATTTTCCACGGATTTCCCACAAGATTTCAAACGAAAGAAGATGTGGTAGGTATCCCGTGGGTAAAAGTTTCCCGCCATTAAATTCTCCACGAGTTTCCCACAACAGACCTTGTGGGAAATCACACACAAGCAAGGATCCGTGGGAAACTCGTGGGCAAATCAGATCACCCACAGATTGTTTTTGTGGGAACCATTTCCATACGTAACCCGAGGGTTAAAGTTTTCCACCAACAAATTCTCCACGACTTTTTCCACTGCTGCCATAAATTTAGATGGATAAAAAAGATCATCAATAATATGGGTTACAACTGACAGTTGCAAACTGTTTTGATTACTACTATTAGAGTAAAAGTATATTTATAAGTATTAAAAAATTGTGAAAATGAACAATTCAAACATCAAATATAACCTTAATTTCCAAATTTCGGCCTCAAATAAATTGTAGATTCGAAGCCACTATTTAGTGTGAGACTCAAGCTACTACTATCTTGAACTTTAACCTAAACTAAAGGTTGTTTATTAAAACAAAACATATATTTGATTCGAAATGGGCTCAGCAAAATCAGAATTTGAAGCATAGTTATAAATTTCTGGGCAAAATTAATTGTACATTTTTCGACATTATATGCATGATCCCGACACCCCAGACAAATCTATCATGTGTTATAATCTTTTGTACACTACCAAACAAAATAATCTTAATTAAAGAAGCCTATCTTGCAAAAAAAAAAAAATACAAGGCACCAAATCTTGAAATCAATAAAAATAACGTGATAATACCTTGTCGATGTATTCTCCACGGTGTCGCATATCTCAATTTTGATAGTAATATCTTAAGAAGCTATTAGCGATCACTCGAATAGTAGGACAGAGAGAAGAAGACTGAATTCCATGAAATTTTCACACGGAGAGATTTAGTTGTTATTGCCATTGAGATTTTTCACATTTAATAAAAGGTTTTGAATGGGGTAGTTTTATTTGGCAATTAGATATCGTGGAGGAGAGTTGGTTTTTTTTTTTTTTTCCAGGTTATGAATGGTTTCACATTTAATAGACGGTTATGAATGGAGTAGTTTTATTTGGTAATATGATATCGTGGAATAGATTTGGTTTTTTTTTTTCCAGTTTAAAGATAAGATTTTTTTTTTTTTTGACTCTCTTCAAGAATAAATTTTGAGGAATTGACAAGTGTATTTTTTTTTTAAGGAAATGCTGACAAGTGAAATTTTAGAGTAGAGTTATAATGGGAGTTATTATAGATAAGATAATAACATTGGATTGTAATTTGATTACGTTAGGATTAATTATTTGATTCGCAATCAATGATATGATTGTCCATGAAACAAGAAGGGAGCCAATTTTTCCATTGTATAAATAGCCTACTCCTTTGAATGTGTATACATAAGGTGTCTCACAAAAACCAAAGTTTATTAACTCTTCTCTCGATATATACATTCTTTTGATTTTCATCTACCCATTTGTTGTCATATAATATATATGTGCCTTACTATAAAAGATTAGGGGAAGAAAAAGAAAAAGAAAAGGGTAACGATAGCAAATTGTGAAAAGAAAAGAAAGGGTAACATAACCCGCAAAGCATACCTTGTTTTAACAAAAAAAATATACTCCCTCCGTCCCATAATTATTGTCCACTTTGCCTAAAAAATTTTGTCCCAAAATTATTGTCCAATTTGACTTTTTATGGATCAAGTTATACATTTGTCCTTAGCAAAAAATATTATCCATAAAATCTTAGTGGTTAAAAAATTACTTATGTAGGAGTATATCCGGTTGTTTAAGGTAAAATACAGTTAAGTTTGACCAAAAATAAAATTTTTCATTTTAGTAAAAGTGGACAATAATTATGGAACGGAGGGAGCCTTTGACACTGTTCAGAAAAAAAAAAAAAAAACATCTCTTACTATCCACATTTGGAATGGTCAGGGAGAGCGGCAGAAAATATGTAAAAGTTTCAATTCGAGAACCGACATATTAGATCATTAATTTAAAACTAATGAGAAATAGGCTATTGATGTTTTAGAATCACACTTCGATAGACTTTTTCACTCATCTCTTTTGATTCCCAATGGTTAAATAAAGTTATTGTTTTTTTTCTTTAATCTCACAAAGAAACTTTTAATTTCCTTCAATAACTAGATTAGTCTACTAATTAGTTTGCTTCATTAAAAAGTGAATGACGTCGAGGAGCAGAACGCGCTGGTCAAAGGCTCGTTCAATTTTGTTCCTGGAATCCAATTCAGTGCTTTTCATGACGTCAAGGCTCAACAAGGAGTGTCCATGTTAGCCGATCTTGCTGGTCCTGCTTTAAAATTAGAGGTGGCATCTGTTGTTCCTTCTATTGGCTTGCCTCGATCAACACTTAAATTTCTAGCTGCTGAAGTTTCACTTGAAGAGAGAGACGAGTATGAGGAAGAAGAGTCGAAGAAAAGTTTATCTGTTTCTGGGATTCTAAAGCATAACGTCCTTAATGGGATTTGTACTGCAGAATTTAACGACGAAAATTTGAGCTTGCGCTATGCCTATAAGGATGAGCAAATGACATTTATTCCCCGAGTTTCTCTGCCTTCCAATGCATTATCGTTTGCTTTTAAGCGTCAGTTTGGCCCTTCAGACAAGTTGAGTTATTGGTATAATTTTGATTCGAACTGCTGGAATGCAGTGTATAAGCACACAGTTGGTAATGATTTTAAGTTTAAATCGATACAACCACCATTGTATCAATTGATTTTTATGCAATAATATGTGCATGATTGTTATTTCGGTGGACTTTTTTCACTTGGAGCCTGGGCCCTGCCTTTGTTAGGCGAAGCCTTGCAGGCCGACATCGGGCTTGGTCGCTAGGTTAGCTTACCTAGGCTTATCGTGTTGTCCGGATGGATGCGGAGCTCATGAGTATTCAATGGTGGTCACGAGGTTTTGCATTGAATCGTTATTGTTATCGTTATCGTATTGTTGAAATCTGGCTCGGAACCTGTCTATGTGCCACATAGGTTCTTTGACAGTCATTGCTAAGATTTCCCCGTATCCACCCCATTGTTAAATGTTTAATGTGAAATAGTTGATTGTTGAATGATTATATGTAAAATTATACTACTTTTGAATATTGTTAAAATAGTTTTATTAAAAGTATTGTAGTAGCATAGTGGAAACCTCACTGAGTTCAACGCTCACCCCCTTTATGTTTTACTCCCTTATCCCAGTCCCAGGATTAGAATGGATGCAGAGGAGTTCAAGGAAACGTTCTATCAAAAAAGACCGTCTACAAAATGCTGTCATTGATAGATTATAACATGAGATAGGTTTAGTGAGAATATTAAGTTAATATTTGAAACTAGCATTCGGAAGTACTATTATTCAGTAAAATTTATTTAGTTTGTTTTAGAATTTGTACTTAAAAGTGAATAAAAGTAAAATGCCTTGGGCGAGAGCCCGGCGGACGACTCAACTCGTAGTTAAGCATGACGTATAATAACAAATAGGTTAATTGGGTCGTCATAAGTGATATCAGAGTATGGTACCAAATCCTTGGGTTTAGAAAATTAGAAATATAAGAGCAAGATCTTTGGGAATGGAATCCCAAATCATTCGGAAACAGGGTTAGAATGGAATTTTAGAGCTACAAGAAGTTGCATTCACCTATGTAGGGATAATTATTAGGCTTTGAATCTTTGGAAATTGGTGTATTTTGGGCCTCAAAATATTAAATGATATGAAATTTGAAGTTTAATAGAAAATATTACGATCTCAAATATAATGAAGTCTCTAACGTTTAATTTATACAACCTAACACAACCTTAATATTAACACAACTATAAAATGTGTTGATAAATTTGGTATATGGGATTGTATTGTCATCTCCCTGGAATGGCCAGCCCAGAAAGCCGAACGTTGCAATGTTGGTATCAAATGAAGCAACACAAAAGTTAGTACATCGTGCCGGTAAGATGCTCAGTGAGACATGATAAAGAATGAGAAGAAGAGCGAGAAACGTTATAAATGCGTCGTTGGAAGATTGCCCAATTTTACAAAACATGAGAATTTAGTTTACAAACCATTTATTAAATGTTTGAGTTGTTATGGCTTGTTGTCCAAATGTGATTGTTACTTGTTATAACTGCTCAATGTTTCTTGCTACTAGCCTTAAACTATAGTCACGGTAGTATGTAATAATTGATTGAAAAAAAAAGGTGGTTACTATGACGGTGAAATGTCGGCACAATGTGCAATTAATATTAGTTAGCAATTATTGACAGAGAAATTGGTCGTCGAGGGTTATAAGAATATGACACGACATTTGCGAATAAGTGCTAACTAAAGTTAGAGACCCATGAACCATCTTGAATGAGTAACCTGTAAGTAGATAGCCATTGGAAGGTTTAAAATTATGTATTAAGAGGTCAGAGAGTAAGAATAACTTAGCGTCAATAAGTTAACTAATTAGTTACTGGGCGCTATGGATTTTTACAGCAATCAATTTCCAATGCATGATTTTTGCTTATTATTATCTGACTTGTATCATTAGTAGTACCTTGAATTGAAGGGTTAATACTACTTTATAAGAATATTACATTGTGGATCTTTTCAGTTTTGGTTAGCAATGGGTCAATATTCGCTTGAAAGTTTCGTAAATTTTCAAATACTCCGGTCCGTGTGGTCAACCTTGAGGCCCCGCATCTCTATTCTTTTGAGACTGTTTTGCTAAGACTTGATTAGATTCTAACATCCACAAAATGTATATGTTCCTTTACATGGTTTGCAAAACAGAACTATAATTTGTTGTGGAAGTCGATTTCGACATGACCCATCATCAGTCATTGTAATGCTGGCATTTACATTTCGTGGCGAGCTATTATTTTTAATTACCCTACTCGTTTTCTAAAAACTTTCTGTAATGCCCTTACATGAATGTCTTTTACATTTCGTTTATTTCAGACTTTATGGAGCATAAAAAGGATTTGTGGTTTATAAGAAAATTCAATTTAAAAATAACATGCTCGTTATTGAAAGTTTACTTGGTACTACGGTTTTCAAGGATCTATTTCCTCTTATCCCTCGAGCACTTTTATGTAATTTCTTTTTCACGTACTCCCTCCGTCCCATAATTATTGTCCACTTTGCCCAAAAAATATTGTCCCAAAATTATTGTCCAGTTTGACTTTTTATGGATCAAGTTACATATTTGTCCTTAGTAAAAAACATTATCCATGAAATCTTAGTGGTTAAACAATTATTTATGTAGGGGTATATCCGGTTGTTTAAGGTAAAATATAGTTAAGTTTGACCAAAAATAAAATCTTTCATTTTAATAAAATTGGACAATAATTATGGGACGGAGGGAATATATATTCTACAAATAATGGAGTTTACCTCAGTTTTTACGGATCATAAACGAAGTTACGATTTATAGGAAATATGGATTTGACATGGCCAGCTGCTATGAGGTTCTGGATTTTCAGGAACCTCTGTGCTTTGGTGCTATTTTCGTGATTGATTTTCTCTTGATTTTTTTTTAACCGTCGTTTTATGGTTTCTTTGGAAAGTTTTTTTTTTTTAGCTTTTTTAACCTAGCTTATAATGGTTTTAATAGCTTGCAAATTGGATCTTTAGTTTTGATTGATAACATGCTTTGGATATGACCTCTTTGCCTTATTTTGTTAAAATTTTTCAGAACTTCAAATGAAAAGGGAGGTTGGCTTCTAGGCTTCGGTTTTTCCTGACCAAATACCCTCTCCTCTCAGGATTTTCAATTTTCATAACTATGATTCTTAGATCATTCCAGGATACACTAGAAATTTTGGATTACAAAAAGAAAATGACGACATCTCCATTCTTAGAAATTACAATTGGACTTAAGTTAGAAAATCCAGTTTCGTGAAATTTGTACACCAAATAAAAGTTGATCTTTTATTTTAAAATATACTGGTTTTGTGTGCTACCCCAAACTTGATAAGGAGCATTTGAATTCGTTAGCAAAATATGAAACTGAATACAATTAACCATAGGTTTTCTTATATTATGGTATACGAGTATTAACATTGCTTATTTGATTAACATGTTTTTTTTTACGACTGTAAATGCTATGCAGCCCTTCATGAAAATTGAATATAGGAACATGATCGTGATAGTTGAATGCTATCTTCAAATGTATTGCTTGAATCTTGTAACCTCCAGAAATTGAATTGCATATAGAAAAGACTATAGCCTTACTTGTCCCAGTGTGTGCTTTACAAACAATATTATGTGACTTGTTCCACTTTCTATGATACGTAATTCAGATTGAGTTGATTGCCTTATTACCTTTGAGTTCTCGTGCTCTTGTTCGGTTGAAAGGCCGGATCCACCCCAAATAAGGAATCAAAACTGGCGAGTCAGCGACGGGCTCAATGTCGGTCAGAGAAACGATAGAACCTTATCGAGATACTTGCTCCTGGAACTAAGTCGCATAACATTTTTTTAAAAAAAAAATAAAAAGGAAAAAAAGAAAGAGAGAGTGAAAAGTTTATGGAGTCAGTTTTGGCTGCTTTTGTAGAATATATCTGGTTTATTGGGCGAGAACCCAAAATTAAAAACTTAAGATTACACCAAGGCATCTTGTAAATAAGACATCTTTATCAAAGGTTAGCATTTTTTGGGCTTCTAGGCTATGAATATCGATTGCAGTTGGCTTTCAATCTAACTAAACTAAGTAACTTATTGATGGGAAAATGAGAAAACAAGCCAGTCACCAAGTGAGACGTGAAACATGTGGACAAGGTCTCGAATCCTTGATTAGTGTGCGCTCTTCTATGATTATTGAAAATTAGTGATCATTTGTTAAATGTAAGACAAATGACGTTATATAGCTTTAGAAGGTAGCGGGATAGACATGGATTACGAACCATTCTAATCACAACGACAATTACAATAACTTTCCAAATAAATTAAAGGAATTTTCTAAAAGAAGCCTTAGTTCCTGAGTAGTGGAAGCAAATGCGACAAACCATGAAGCCAATTAACCTTTTAATAGAAGGCAAGTAGTAGAGAGAAACCAAAATACGTACATTTGCAAGACTTTACATAAGAATCGGAACCATAGCAAGGGGCGAATTAATTGAACAAGTGAATTGTGGCCCCTTTTAAAAAAAAAAAGAGAGACACACATCGAACCTCATGAAATAATTTAGACTTCAATCACTCACTTAGTCTTAATGACAACAAGAGGTTCAACTCCATGGTTGGGAGACTCACAAACAAATTTAGATTAACTCAGTTAGCATATGAATAAAGCCAAAAGGGAACTGAAATATACTAACTAATAGTAATTCTGAGGACGCAATTATTTTAAGGGGAAAGATGTAATACACTCAGATTTTGACGTCTTAGGTTAAATACTGACGAGTCCAAAATAAACCCTAGGCCTATTGGGCCTAGGATTAGGTTACTTGGAGATTAAGCCACCGCGTAAACCTATTTTGCTAGGGTTTCAGGAAACAGGAAACAGCACCTCTATATAAAGAGGTGATGCCTCTCCCATAATTCACATCTTCTACCTATTTTCTACACCTTCTACAGACGATACACATCCTTCTCTCTCTACTTTCTTTATTCCCTTATTGACATAAGTATCGGAGAGTATACCCTCGGGAGACACCCGAGGCTCTGTCTTGCAGGTTTTAGGACGTCCGCCGCCGCCTAGATCATCATCGTCGTCCGTCCTAAGGCACCGTGCAGATCCATGCTTCGTCAAGTGGCACGCGTAG